GTGTGTGTGTGTGTGTGTGTGTGTGTGTGTGTGTGCCACTTAGATATTTACTTAATTCACCTAGCCTTCATGTTGGTCCTCAGTAGACATTACTTCCCCTGTCTTCTTTCCCTACCTTACCCCTAATTCACCTCTTTCTTAGTACCCCTCCTCTTCCCCCAACAATAAAGAGATTAAAAACATTTGAAAATGTTCATTGTTTATTTTATTGTTTTTCAGTGAAATGCATAGCATACAACCTCTATACAGACCTAGTATTTGCAAAGCTTTGGCAGCCTATGGTACACAAATTGAATTAACAAGATTTCTCAAAGGAGAGAAAGTATAGCTACTTAGATTGGTATCTCCTCTGAAACTACCAAAATCAGGAAAAACTATTTTATTCCACTGGCATTAGTGTAGATAATAAAGATTAAAAAAACAATTCCCATAATCATAGCTCACATTTATGTATTGTTTGAAATTTTGCAGAAAACTGTCCTCCACATAGGTTGGTAGAATATAGAGGTCAGTATAAAGCTGGAGAGGGACAAGGGTGGGAAAAGTACACGCTGAACGCTATTGACCAATAGGGCTTCCATAGAGTTTCTAGAGTGCATGTGGATTCAGGTGGGGAGAATAAGGCCTCAAGTTAGGTATTTTGGGAAAGACCCACAGGAGTGAAGGCTCTGCTCTGATGGAGGATATAGGAGATTACTCTACTATCCTGTGCATTTGTTCTAAGGTACCAAAGGTTTCAGTTATTGGAAAATAAGAAATATAGCAACAAATAGAGCCCAAAAGCTGAAGACTTTGAGTAGGTAGGAAAAAGTATCTGGAGGCTCTTGTACAACTCGAGTTTTTGTTGGCTTGATTGTGCGGTCCCACTGGGTCAGAATGGCATTCCTGGCTCCATCCCACTTCCCTGGGCCAGTCAGACGGTACTGGTATGGGGTAAGTGGGCCAAAGAAAACCTTAAAAGCCAGTAGTGGATCCACCAGGAGCAGAGATAACAAGTTGGGCTTTGCATCGATGAAGGACAAGAGCTCATCTAGGTATATGACACAATCTGTTTGCAAAACCTGATTGAAGTATAAGCCAAACCTTTATGAAGTAGAGAAGAAAAAAAAAGATCATCTTATTATGGGTAAAACTGAAATTCTCTTCCTAAAATTCAGAATCATATCCATGATTTGTCTTTCATTCTAACTTATACTAATATGTCTCTTACTCTCAAAATTCTTCTCCTCTTCCTAACTATAAAGTGAACTTCTTTTAAAGACATTATTTTGGAACTACTCCCCTAGGGCTGGGCCATTCTAATTGGTAAGAGTCAAACTCTATCTAACTAGTCCCAGAACCAATCATGCTTCATCTTAGCTTTCTTCTCAATATCCTTTCTGCTAGTGCTGTAATCTCCTAGCCAAACCTCCAGAAATCATGCCCTGGAAGACATAGGCCACTCAGCTGTGGAACAGCCACCCTGGGACCATGCTGTCCAGATTGGTGATAATTCACTATCTCTTGCTGGCCCCAGACCAAACCATGATGTTAACTTTCTTGACATCCCTCCTACTGTCATGTATTCTGAAATTCTAGGTGAATGAGAGTCAGAATATAGTAGATAAAGAACTGTCTCTAAACTCAAGATAGCCTTGGTCAAAAGTTCTGCCTCTGACTGGCTATGTGTTCCTGGGAAAATAACTTAAACTTTCACTTCTCTACATAACTTTCTAAAGCCATAAGTTTCAGAGAAGGTGCTGACCTGCTTTGGTTGAGGGAATTTCCTAACCTTGGAGTTGTTTATGCCAATTAAATCACAGGTAAAGTCCCTAATCCTATTCTGAAGTCTTTAGTTCTTTGACATGGTAGATAGTGATGATCTAGTGTCCTCATTGCCATGACATGTTGGGTATCCTCATTTCCTCTTTCACCTGCAACTCCTAATAAAGGTTTCCCTAGAGCTCTTCCAGAATTCTTAATACCCCATTTTCCTTCTGTTTGAAATTCACTGCTTTTTGCATTACTGGGTATGATTCCAATTGTTGACCCTTAAGGAAAATGCTTTACTGTGATTGTTGAAAAGTTTTGAAAACTCTAGTTGTAAATTGGAATAGTATATGCAAGTAATTAAGGGACATAGCCTACCCCGTGGCTTTATTGGCTTTCCTTTTGTTAATGTCTTCTCTCATGGCCTCTGGTGATGGTAGTTCATTCAAGCCTACAAAATAAAATTAAAGAATTCCTTTAGACATCTCTTAGAACTCTGGGCAAACCATATGAAGTACCTCAACCTATAATTATGAGGTTGGTCACTGTTTTTCTTGCACCCAAGAGAGTAACAAAACCAATGATTCAGGTTCCTGGACATTTAAACCTTCCACAAAGGCATGTTGTCATTAATAAGTCACAAGACGATCCTTGTGACTTAGGCTTACTATGTCTTTGTCTCTATGATGTCAAGGTAACCAGTAGAAAACTAAATGTAACTCAACTAATCAGTTGTTTAGCCTTCATCATAAAATCTCAAAGCTAGGAAATACCTCATAAGCCAGTCAATCTAAACTATACCTTTTGGAATATGCTGGAATAATGGTCATCCTCCAATGAGAGGGAACTCATTACTTTCCAAGGCAGTTCACTTCATTTGTGGATAGTTCTAATTGTTAGAATTTTTTTTCCTGAAATCAAGCATAAATGTCTCCTTGCAACTTTTACCCATTGTGCTCAGTAAAGTCTTTTGAGGCCAAGTCAGGTAAATATATTCTTGCAAGTTTAAATATTGTTACCAGGTGTATTCCATACCTCTTTTTGCTAGGCTACACTTCCCCAGTGCCTTTAAGAGACTCTTATGTAGCAGGGTCTCAAGGTCTGATCTCCACCATTCTTATCATCCTGCTTGTGATGCTCTCCAGTTTATCAATTTTCTTGGTAAAATATGATGCCTAGTAACCAGAAGTAACCAGAACACTAGATATGGTCTGACCATGGCAGAGTTCAGTTAGGCAATCACTACTCTTGTTCTGGAAGTCATGCTTCCCTTAATGAAAGTTGGAATCACAGGAACTTTGTTTTTGAATGCCTTATCACACTGTTGACTCGTATTAAGTTTGTAGCATGAAACCAGCCAGATCTTTCTTTTTCTACCTAAGTTGCTTCAGGTTACATTTTCTCCGTCTTGTGTTTGTGAAGCTGATTTTTCAACCTAGTTGTAGGACTTTAAATTTCACTTAATTAAAGGTTTATCATTAGATTTGCCCAGTGTCAAGATGTTTTTGGTTTGGCTCACAATCCAGTGTGCTGTCAGTCTCTTCTCACTTTTGTATCATTAGCACATTTGAGTATGCCACCCAGGCCTTCATCCAAGACATTGAGAAAACTGATAACAGATATCAAGGAGAGATCTCTGAGGATACTACATGGGCAACCTCTTCTGCTCTGACATTAACATCTCAATTGGTAGCTATAAACCTACCTGTCTCTCATATTACTGTACCAAGCAACTAGGTTGACTAAAATATTTTCACTAAGATCATCATTTTGGTGTTTTAATTAGGCCCATTAATTTCACAAAAATGGCCGATGAACTTTTGGGTAGTTAGACAAAGCCAGTATTTTGTAGTCCCTACTTTCTTTGCATTTAGAGATATAAGTCATCATTACCCTATGACTTAGTTAATACTAATATAATTCCAGCTTTTAGAGCTTCTGTCTGTTTTAAATGGGGACTGGTGAGTTATCAAGATTTCTAGTCTCTAAAATCAATCAGTCATCATTTTAACTTAGACAAAGGTTGAAAACCACCCTGCCCTCCCACCATCTTTGGTTTTTTCCCCCTTGCTCACTTGTGTTTTCCATCTACATACCCTTTAGGACCCGTGTGACCCATCTGGCTTGTACTTCTGATGTGCAAACCAAGGATCCCAAAGGCTTGATGAGGCCAATAACAGCCAGGGTTGGT